CCAGCAAGCCTGGCCCAGCTCCCAGCTCCCCCTGCACCAAACCACTTGAGCCCCTTCCACAGGGAGCAGTCAGACCTTTCAGACCTGGGCTGTGCTTGGGGGATGGAAAAGGAGCCTCTTAGGCCTCTCCTCCTCCTGGTTTTATAAAGTGCTGACAAAACTGGGAATAAAGAGGCATAAAGAATTCTCTGTTTGTGTGTGTGTGTGACCGAGCACATGCTGGGAGCTGGGGTGGGGCTGGGCATATGCATGACTTAGTCCCTGTAAACGAAAATGCGGCCCCAGCAGTGACAAGGGCCCCTCCAATCTCAGAATCAATTCTCCCTCCCAGCTAACGCCTATCTTTTAAAAATTTGAATCAACCAGTCCACACTCAGCCAGTTTATTAAAGGCAGGGAGCTGCATCAGGGGTCTAGAAGGGAGAAGGCAGGAGGTATCCCCTTCTTCTCTCAGCTCCCCTGTTCTTCGACAACTCAACTGCAGCCCAGCCCCCAGGACAAAACCCCAGGAGGCCCGGCTGGCGTCAGGCAGACTGCACTGCATAAATACACGGAGGCCACAGCCTGAATCAGCAGCGTCAAAGGGACAGGAAGACTGGGCTTGGGCAAGAAGGGGTGGCTCTGTGGACACCTCCCCCAAGGCTTGTCCTGGGCCCCAGGGCCCAAGGAACCAGAGTTAGGGGACAGGTGGGCTGCCCTGGTGTCTGAGGCTGTGACCAGCCCTGTCCTGCCAGGCTGGTATGTGGCTCTAGACTGCTGGGGAGGAGCAGGGCAGGGTGAAGTGGTGCCAGCGTGCAGGGGCCCAGGGCAAGGTCAGGTGCTGTTGCCCTGCTCCTGCTCGAAGAGCAGCATGGCGAGCTGGGTTCGGGAGCCCAGACTCTCGAGCATGCTCTGGCGGCAGCGGTGATACAGGTCCTCACTGAGCCGGGCGCTGCACCACTGGGCCCGGTAGCGCTGCAGCAGGGCCGGCTCCACAGCCCGGAGCACGTGCAGGCTGGAGAAGCGCAGGAAGAGCTCATACACATCCAAGCTCTCCAGCAGCTCCTCCTCCTGCTCTGAGGCTGCCGCCAGCTGCCCTCGTGCAGCCACATAGTCGGAGTTGTAGAAGCAGGCCTCGCTGGCCACCTGGCGATCAAAGCGGCCTGTGTCACGGCCTAGCTCTGGTGGCCCGGGCCCCTGTGGTGGAGCAACGGCCGGGTGGAAGGCCTGGAAGTGCATGGGAAAGAAAGCCTGCCAGCCGGAGATAGCATGCATACGGCAGCGATTCAGGAAGTCAGGTGTGAGCACCGTGTCTGGCCCGGCCAGCAGGAATAGTGTGTCCAGTGGGTGCTTCTTGGAGAGCAGATCCATGAGGCGCAGTGGGGAGGGCGCAGCTGTTTGCACACTGAGCCAGGGCACCCGGGCTCCAGGGAAACGCCGTTCTAGCTCTGCCACATGGGCCTTGACAGGTGCAAAGATATCTGCATGGGCTGCCCGCTGGGCTTGGCGTGGTTCATACAGTAGTAGCAAAGTCAGGGCTGCTGCATCACCAGGCTCCAGGGCTGCGGTGGCAAAGGCCTCCAGGAAGTTAGAGGCCAGGTCACGCTCAGCTGCAGCCAGAGGCAAAAGCACAGTGACACGTGAGGCCTCCGTGACATAGGGCACGGGCAAGATCTCCACTCGGCTCAGTGGCCGGAGCAGCTGAACCCGGCGGGTGAGAGGCTTGCGGCCACCCTGAGGGGTCAGTGCCTCCAGCTGCAAGTCTAGTGTGTATTCCATTCCCCGGGCTGGGTCAAAGCGCCGGTAGCCATTAACCAGCTGCTGTTTCTGGAGTCGCAGGGCTGGATGGTAGCGGCGGTTGAGTTCTTCCAGGGCTGCCCCCAGGACATCAGCCACATCAGCCCGATCAGCCCCACGAAGTGGGCATCGAGGTGAGCCGTCGGCACAGGAGAAAGCATGCTGCTCTGTAAAGTAGTCCCATCGCAGGACCTCAAAGCGGGAGGCAGGGTGAGATGGTGCTGGAATGCCCACAGGCCAGGCAGCCGCCCGCTCTCCATCGGCGGCCAGGTGGCTGGTATTCTGGATCTCCCACTGGCCAGAGAAACAGGACATGAGCAAGGCAAAGCACACAGCTGGGGGGCTGGGGTGTGGGCAGGCACCCCAGGATCCTGTCAACTTCTGCCCATCCAGGGCCCCCACCTATCCTTTCTGCAAATGGAGGCAGTTTAAAAGTTAAAAGAGGCATTTCCGGGAGGCTCTTCAGAAAAGGGGAAATCAGGACTGGAAAGCAAGTCTGTTCTGTGATTCAAACACTAACTTTATTTCTCGGGACCTCTGAGACCTCAGATCCTGTTTCCCCGTACTCCCCATTACTTCACTCCCCACACCCTCAAGCCCAGGCCATACCTGCAACTCCCGGATCTCCTGGTATGTGCGTTCCAGCTCAGCTCGGGCAAAAGCCTTGTGCAGCTGGTACATGTGCACAGGGTCACGCACAGGGTGGGCTGTCAAGGCACTTCGGAATCGAGGATCCCCTTCCTGTATGGATTCCCCAGGGCTGAGCTCCAGATAGTTATAGTGTACTCCCTGGGGAGAAGAAGGAAGGGATCCACAGTGGGCAGAATGACACGATGGGTATCTTACCTCCTCATCCTACTATCGGGTTTACATCTACTTAAGTGACCAGTTGCACTTGTGTGACTTGGGTAAGCTTCTGCCAGCTCATCTGTGAATCGGACATGCAATCTGTCTCAGGCTCAAATAAAATAAAAATTAACGCTGAACATCTGCTGAAATAAGGGCAAGGTGCCCTTATTTTCTCTAATTCTTATAACAGTCCTGCATGATAACAGTTTCCATTGGCATGCATAAGAACACTGATACTCAGATTTACTAATTTATCCAAGGTCTCAGGGATAGAAAATAATGTAACTGACATGGAAACCCAGGCCTGAACCACCCCTCTACCCTCCTCGGAAGAAAAGGACAAACTCAACCAGGAAGTGCCAGTAGGGTGGCTTATCTTCCCACCTCGTGGTCACCAGTGCAGCCCACCCCGGTGGCATCTATGATGCAGCGTCCCAGCCACTCATCAGGACGTGCACTGACGATGTCGTTGCGGCAGCTTTCCAGGTGGGGGCGCAGCTGCTGAAGCAGGGTGCGGGACAGCAGAACGCCAAAACTGCCGTGGCAGTAACGGCCTTGGGTCGGTTCTCCACCGATGAAGTCCTGGGGCAGGCCTAGATAGAGGTGGGCAGCGGAGGCCAGGCTGAGGCGGCCAGTTAGGCGTGCCAGTCCATGAGCCTCAGTGTAGGTGGCGTCAGGCACTAGGAAGAACCAGTCAAAGTCGTCACCATGCTGCTCCAGCAGGTGGCGCAGCGCCAGGTGCAAATGCCCGATGGGCCGCTCCTCGCCCAGCGTCACCACAGCCATGCCAGGTGGTGTCCGGCGACCCCGAGCGCCTGTCAGGAACACCACGCGTTCTAGTCTGTGCCCCAGTGTTCGGTTCACAGCCACACCCAGCGTGGGCAACGTGGCCTGTGAGGTCAGCACTGCCACCAGCAACCTCTGCCTGATGCCCAGCTCTGTGCTGATGTATCGAGTCCTGGAGGAAGAGAACTCTGGGTCACCAAAAAGACAAGGCAGGCAGGCGGGAGAGGTTCACAAAGGTTCAGCAGGTCCTAACTTTTCAAGCTATCTCCTTATCTATGCATAGGATAAGAATCACACCTATCTCCCAGGGATCATAAGGATTAAATGCAATACCAGTCTTACCATGTTGTATTTTGCATTCAGGAGTTGTTGGCAGGATCCTTGCAGATAGATATGCTATGTCAGATAGACTATGTCATAGGTCTGATTCTTTTTCTTTTTTTTATTGGTACCGGGGATCGAACTCATGACCACCTGCTTGCAAGGCAGGTGCTTATACCGCTGAGCTAAATCCCCAGGCCCATAAGTCTGATTCTTGACTTCACTACTTAGCAGCTGTATCCTTGGTTAAAAGTGTTCTTTAACCTGAGCCATCTGTAAAATGGACAGGTTTAAACTATCTAACACTCGGCAAATGTTCGGTGTTCCAAGAATATACTTATTTCTCTATAAATATGTTGCTAAACCATTAGAACATCACATCAATGATGTAAAGGAATATATTGTACAGACGGGTATTGTGTTTGGGGAAGGGTTGAACTAGGACAGGAAGTCACATTTGAAAAGCAGAAAGTTGTAGACTAGGGACTTGACTCCAGTGTTACTTAGGAGAAATTATTTCAACTTATGATCAGAGACATTCATGGGATGAGTACATTTCTTCTCCCATCTCACCCCAGGTGGCCTTGGTGTCCCAAGCAGGAATGAGATACAGGTAAATTCTAGGTCTCCCTTTTTTCTTTCCCTTTCTTGTATACACTCACTGTATATACCAGCTGTTTCTGTAACTCCTACAACCCAGCCAGGAAGTTAAGAGGATCTTTGGAGGACCACCGGGTGGACAGAGGTAGGCAGGTCCAACTCAGGTCAGGATGAGACCTCGAAAGGGCCTCAAACTGGCCCCGCGGCTCCGGGGTAAACAGGACTATAGGAAGTTATCTGGGCCCAAAGACTTCCTGGCCGGCCAGCCCCTTCCTTCCGGAGCCTGACCCAGCCTCCAGCGGCCTCCCCCACGCGCGCGCCCGGGTCGATGCCCAGGAGGTGGGGCTGGGGGAGCGGATCATTACCTGACGGCCTTCTTGGGGGCCTGGCCGGGCTTTGCCGGGTGGTAGGGCAAGACACGAGGCTCCCAGTTCTCCCCGGCGCCTGCACCGGCTCCGGGCCTCTCGCGCTCGGCTCCTGGCTGCACCGAGTTGGGCCGGCGCGCCGCGTTCGTGTTGCCGCGCGGCTGCAGCTCAGAGTCTCCGGGCTGGGGCGGCCCTGGGCCGCAAGGCTCTTCCACCCAGGTGACGCTGAGCAGACTCAGGGTGAAGCCCAGGGAGATGCCCACGGCCACGGGCCCCGCGGGCCGCAGCACAGACAGCAACAGCGATGCCCGCATGGCGCCCGGACCGCGGGCCCCCGGGCCCCGCGCAGCCCCAGAGCAGTCCACGGAGGCTCCGAGGGGGCGGGACCGGGGAGGGGGCGGATCCGGAGGGCCCGGGCCCCGCGGGCGGGCCCGCTCCCTCCCCGCCGCGCAGAGCCAGCGGCCGGAGCCGAGCCCCCGCACGGTGCTCCGCGGTCCCTCCAGCCGCGATCGGCGCTCAAGCCTCGGCTGTGGCCGCCGCTGTCCGACGTGTCACTGCGAGGGCCCCGCCCCCGGGGTGGGGTCTCGGGCTCCAGCTACCGGAGAGGGAGGAGAAGGGGAGGTTAAAGGGGAAGGCCCCCCGGAAGTGCCCCCTCCTCGGCGCCGGAGAGGGAGGCTCTGGGGGCGGAGTCCCCCGCCTCCCCCGGCGTGGTTGGTGCGTCCCGGGTGACGTCAGAGCGTCCCGCCCCTGCCTGGATGGTGCGCCCCGAGTGACGTCAGGAGCCGAGGCCGGAGCTGTCCATCAGCACCAAGGGCCGCGGGCGGGATCAGGGCATGGGGCCGCGGCTCCGGGACAGCCCGCACCCCTGCTCCTGCTCCTTCCCCTTCCCCGGGCCGGGCCAGAGTCTCCGGACGCCGCGGGACTGGAGTGCCAGCCGGTGTTGGAGGTGGAGCGGCGACACCGCCGCGCGGAGACCGGGCTCTCCGGCCCAGCAGCCCCCTTCCTCTCCGGACCCCATTCGGTTGGAGCCTTGTGCGCCCCGACACCCCGGCCCCTACGGCCCCTGCAAGCCTCCTTTGCTCAGAAGCTCAGGTCGCCTCCAGCCCAGGTAGATCTTGGACAATCCCAGATTTGGCTTCCTTCGGACGAGTCTTCAGGCTGCCTTCCCTCACCGGCGGCACACGGCCCCCATCTCCCCTCACTCCGCTTGGCCCCCTTTAACTTCATCCCAGCCCCCTGGAGCCAGGCACCTCTGCTTCCCTTTGTCTTTGCTTCCCACTCCAGGGATGCTTCCAAAGCTGCATGATGTGGGCACCACTCCTTTGTCCACTGTGTCCTTGCTGAATTCTCCCATTCCCACTTCCTCCTTCATCCTGGTGGGGACCCAGCACTCTTCCTTGACCTCCAACTTCCTCTCTATCAGGTAGACCTGGCGGGTGACCCCCTTCCACTCCTACCACCATGCCGGGCACTATGGAGACCCTGCGATTTCAGCTGCTGCCCCCAGAGCCTGATGATGCCTTCTGGGGTGCACCTTGTGAGCAGCCCCTGGAACGCAGGTACCAAGCACTGCCGGCCCTCGTCTGCATCATGTGCTGTTTGTTTGGAGTCGTCTACTGCTTCTTCGGTGAGAGCTCCCTCATTCCTCCCCTGGGTTCCCTACTGCTTTCTTGAGTTCTTTTTCTGAGGCCACCAGTCTTCTCCAGAGCCTCCCCATAAATACATTCTCTGCCCTCTCCTCTCCCTTCTTCTCTCACATCTCACACGTTTGTAGATCACCTAGTTTCCAGATTCTAGAGAACATAGGTTTTTAAATTAGACATATAGTATCTGAGTTTGAATCTGGCTCTGTACCTTCTTGTGATGCTTTGGGCATATTAGGCTGTCATAGTACCAGTTTTGTCACCTGAACAAAGGAAACAATGACATTTGTTTCCTACAGAGTTATTATAAAAATTAGCGGCTACTCAATAAAGAGTAGCTTTAGGGGGCTGGGGATTTAGCTCAGCGGCATAAGTACCTGCCTTGCAAGCAGGCAGTTGTGAGTTCGATCCTCAGTACCGATAAAAAAAAAAAAAGAAGACAAAAAAATAAAGAGTAGCTTTTGTAACAAAGAGGTGTTTGGGTCACTGTGCTAGAGAGGGAGGTGCTGGAAATTTAGCAAGGTGATTAAACATGTTCCCTTACAACAGGGCATATTGTATGAGGGGGGAGAGGCTCCTGAAATATTCACACTTGTGATACATATTAGAGTGGGCTGAATGGTAGTCACACACATGGAGATCGCCTACAAGGCAGGCTCCAGTAATCGAAGCTGCTATGAAGAGTATACAGAATGGGTACTGCAAAAGAGAGCTAAGTTAAATTAGGAAAGTGGGAGCTGAAATCCAGCTCATATTTTGCTTGCCAAACTCAAGACTTGCAGAAGGCTGCTTTCCCTAGAGCAACCTTCCCTAGAGAAAGGAACACCTTTTTCTAATTTGCACAAAGTTATCATATGGGCTAGCAGCATCCTAGAATAAATGCCGGGTGATTCTACAGCAAGAATTACAGAATTGCCAAGAGCAGAATGGGTTCTGCAGGCAGAGGCCCAAGGATGGTTATAAGTGACTGGAACCAGTGGAGTAAAGGAGACTGGTAGGTTTGGCAGAGGTGAGGCAAAGTTTGTCTTCTCCTCTCTGCAAAAGAAGTGGATAGATGAAGTGAGAGCCAATTGGTCCCTCTCCTCCCACCCCAAACTCTGGACTGAATAACTGCAGACTGGGTGGGGAAAAGTGCCCTCTGCAAGGGTTTAGGACCTGTTCTGGCCTCCAAAGAATCTGGGTCACTTCATTCCCTCCACCGTCCACACCCAGTCCCTCTGCACAGTTCTCAGTGTACCCTCAGATTCCCTTCTGTGGGCTTCCCTGACATCCTTCTCACCCTGATACTCCTACTCGGAGCCGTCATCCGAGGACCCTATTCCTTTCTGACCCCAGGACCACCCGGACTCCAACAGTTGTCTTCTTCCTGGAATAGAACCTGCTGTTTATTTTCTTTCTCTTTGCCTCTCTGTGACTTCTTGAGCCCTGACTTCCGTTTTCCCAACTAACACTTCCGCACTCGGTCAGATATGCCCAATAGGCCTGATAGCTCTAATGGCCCTATAACCTTTTCTGCCAAAATCCCACAACTACTATTTCCCTCCTTCTCCTTCTCATCTTTGATTCCCCCCACCCCAGTCTCATATCCTTCTATTCGCTGAGCCCTTCTCTGACTAGTTCTGGTCCCTGGTGCCTATCGCTTCATCACTGGGTCACCCATCACTACACTGCCATCATAATCATCCCATCTCTCTGGCTTCAATGTCCGTCTCTCAAAAGCTCTCTAATAATACTCAGTGATTCAGCTTCTGCCAATCCCTAAAAAGACTCTTTCTGCTAGAATTTCTCCCCAGTAACTCAGCTGTCTGTCCTGTTAACATTTGGATGATGCCTTATCTCTGAAGCCCTGTGGCCTTTCAAAGAACCTGTATGGCTTCCATCTCTCAAAGACATTTTTCTAACTTTTAAAAACCTCATTTCTGGTGCTTGTTGTGGCAGCACCTATACTAAATACCTCATTTTGGCACACTCCTGCACACAAGACCCCTGTGATCATGCCAGTTCCACTGTGACCTCGATGACCCATCTCTCTGAGCCCCATGAGCCCAAGACCCTAATGTCCTGTTACTGATTTGCTTAAGTCTAGTGATCTATCTCTGACTCCTCTGACCCTCAGAGTTCCCAAATCACTATCCCAGTGGTTATTTCTGTCTTCACAATGAGACCTGAGGGCTATGTCTCTCTGACTTCCCAGTGGCCCCCTGACGCATGCCCTCATGACCCCAGTGACACCCAGTTCTCTTATTCAGTGTCCTTGTCCAGTGTCATGGTTCCTCTTGGATCCCACGGTCCTGACCCTGCTGACCTGTCTTCAGCCTGATAAGCTTCTTTGGGCGCTCAATCACCCCTGTTCCCCTGCAGGTTACCGCTGCTTCAAGGCAGTGCTCTTCCTCACGGGGCTGCTGTTTGGCTCAGTGGTCATCTTCCTGCTGTGCTACCGAGAGCGGGTGCTGGAGACGCAGCTGAGCGCTGGGGCAAGCGCGGGCATCGCGCTGGGCATTGGGCTGCTCTGCGGGCTGGTGGCCATGTTGGTGCGCAGCGTGGGCCTTTTCCTGGTGGGGCTGCTGCTCGGTCTGCTGCTCGCTGCTGCAGCCCTGCTGGGCTCCGCACCCTACTATCAGCCTGGCTCTGTGTGGGGACCACTGGGGCTGCTGCTGGGGGGCGGCCTGCTCTGTGCCCTGCTCACCCTGCGCTGGCCCCGCCCACTCACCACCCTGTCCACTGCTGTGACCGGTGCTGCACTCATCGCCACCGCTGCTGACTACTTTGCCGAGTTGCTACTGCTGGGGCGCTACGTGGTGGAGCGACTTCGGGCCGCCCCCGTGCCCCACCTCTGCTGGAGGAGCTGGGCCCTGCTGGCACTGTGGCCCCTGCTCAGCCTGATGGGCATTCTGGTGCAGTGGCGGGTGACGACAGAGAGGGACTCACACACAGAAGGTGAGAAAGCACAGGCTAGGGTGGATACTGGAGGAGGGAATGGCCAGAGATGGGTGGAGGGCCAGGGCAAAGGGACCAGGGCAAAGGAACAGAAATTATGCACACTATCAGCAGAAGGCTTCAGTGGGATCGGACAGCTGATTTTCTCAGAGTGTGGGAGGACAAGGTATGGTACGGGTCATTTGCCCTAGGCCAACCCTGTCTCTGGACTGGGGTTATACCAGAGATAAAACAGAATGGGAGGGACTGGCAATGTAGCTCAGTGGCAGAACACTTGCCCAACATGCTAGAACTCAAGCAATGCCAAACAAACTAAAAACCAATACCAGAAAAATGGCCTGCCTTTATAGGTATACATCCAGGGCAGGTGAGAGACAGGTAACAAACATTCAGTCAAACAAGATAATTCCTACTGTGCAGAGTGATATGAAGGAGATACACAATGTAACACGAAAGAGTGATCTTATAGAAACTGTTCTAGTTAGGGTGGGCAGAGCTGCTTGGAGGAGGTGACACATAGGCAGAGACCTGAAGGATACAGGGCCAGCCATCGCTTCCAGCTTAAGAAGAGGATGACAAGGACAAAGACCCATGAAAGAATGTGGCTAGCATGCTGGAGGAAGAGGGGTTGGAGCGTTGCACGTGAGGTCGGACACAGGCTGATCTCGAGGGTCCTCGGGCCATGAGGAAGGACACCGAGTTTTACTAGAGGGCAGTGAGAAGCCAGTGGAGGGTCTAAAGTAAGGGATGTTATAACTTAGTGCTTGGGATGCTTGGGATGCTGCTGAGTGTGGCCTCAGAGAGGGGCAAACGCACAGGGAGCCAGTGAGAAAGTAGCGGTAACCGTCCTGTTGCAAGATGGCTGGGCTGACCTGGAAGAGTCGCCTGTGGCTCAGGGTCTGCAGTGGGACAGCTGAGGAGGGGGTGTCTGTGAGTCCCAGAGTCTCACTCGGAGACATTCAGAAGCAAAGAACAGTGGAAGGACGGTCCACTGGCAGGAGGGAGACTAGGAAAGAAGTGATGGGGTGGGGCGAGGGTAATGGACAAGGGGAGCCTGGACTGGACATCTGAAGTCCGAAGGGGGGAAAGAGCAGGGGAGGGCTTGGAGGGAAGAGGTCATGGACCACTGAGTCCCTCCTCTGCCACCCTTCCTCAGTGGTCATCAGCCGGCAGCGACGACGTGTGCAACTGATGCGGATTCGGCAGCAGGAAGAGCAAAAGGAGAAGCGGCGGAAGAAGAGAGCACCTCGGGGCCCCCACAGAGGCCCCCGGGCTCCTCCCAGGCCTGGGCCCCCCGATCCTGCTTATCGTCGCAGGCCAGTGCCCATCAAACGCTTCAATGGAGATGTCCTCTCCCCGGTGAGCACTCTGAGACCCTCCAGCCTGAATAGAGAAAACAGGAGTGTGCTGACCCTGTTCAAGCAGGACTAGGCTTTTCTGGGGGTGGGGGCGAGTCACAGTCTAGGAGGCCTGCTGTTTGTCTATCCATCAGAACCCCTGTCCTGAGGGTCTAGCCAGTCCTGCCCCAAGGTTGGAGGAAAGTTGTCCCAAATACAGATTTTAAATGGAATAGGATAAGCAGTGGTCTCTGGGCTATAGACCCCGGACGTGAGGGAATCTTGGGTCTGCATATTCAGGAGAGGGGGAAGTGTCAGGTTTGTGTGGGGCAGGGAGAGGTGGCTTGCAGTGGATTCTCACCCCTGTGTTACCTCTCCACAGAGCTACATCCAGAGCTTCCGGGACCGGCAGACCGGGAGCTCCCTGAGCTCCTTCATGGCCTCACCCACAGATGCAGACTATGAGTATGGGTCCCGGGGACCACTGACAGCCTGTGCAGGCCCCCCTGTGCGGGTATAGCTGTGTCTCCACCTGTCTACACTCTGCAGTCACCAGCTCTGCCAGCCTGAGGAGGCCTGCCAGGCTGCTACCCTGGCCACCTGGCCCTGTGGCCTTTGGCTGTGCCTCTACCCTCCATGGACAGGGCTGGCCTGGTCACTACAAGGGAGGATCTGTCTCAGGCTAGGCCTGGCCTGAGTGGAAAGCCCCCTTTCATGCTCCCGAGGGGCTCCTGAGGGACTTGGGGTACGAGCCCATTGGGGTATGCTCAGGGTTGTGAGTGTGTTGCCTGTGTGTGCACATGTGTGAGGGAGTAGGCTTGGAGCAGACACTGGGCCCTTGCCTTAGATTTCTGATTGGTAGGCCACCCTCAGGGCTGGCCTGCCCCCCCCCTCCGCTGGGGTCCCACAGGCTGCTCTCCTGCATGTCTGTGCGGAAGAGGCCTGCCTGCCTCCACTGTTACCCTGCTACCCAACCACTCATTGAAGGGTTCCTGTCCCTGTCCACATGGCAAACTGCAGCAGCCACATCCTGATGCCCTGGCTTCTGCAAAGCCACCAGCCTGCGATCAGTGACAGGGGACGGGGATGGGGAGTCCTGCCCTGAGCTGGGATGGGGGGTGTGAAGGCATGGGCCTTACATGCACGGTGCATGTCTGGTGTCTATCATGCCACCTGGACACCTCATGCTTCTGTCTCCCCCACACACCTGCTTTACATCTTTTATAAATGTGCCAAACTGTGTGGCCTCTGCCAGGAGTGGTGGTTTTCATCGGCTGGCACTTCCCTGGGCCAAGCTGAAAGCACTGTAGCCTCAGGCCCCTGTCACTCACTGCAAGGGCTCCAGGCAAGGTCTGTTCTCCCACAGCACAGAGAGACAGAAATGAGCGGTAGCACATTTATTGTTTCCCAATACCTCTGGTTCCCCTGCCTCCCCACCCTGCCTGAGGTGAAGGCACACACATTCCAAGCTGTCCATGGCACCACCTGGCCTGGTTCAGGCCTCCTAGTCACCTGCAGAGGAATGATGCCATGTGGGACTTAGAGGAGAGTAGATGGCACCCTCCCCTCCCTGGCAGAGCCTAGGAACCCACATGAGAAAAGTTGCGCCCTCAGCCTCTGCTATAAGGGGAGTAGGAAGGTGAGAGTCAGTTAGGGTTGGGCATGGGGGCCACATAAAGAGAAAGCAGGGATTCAGCATAGAGGATAAGGCAGCTCCTATGTGGGAGAGGAGAGAAAGGGGGCTGATTAGCTTAGGAGCCCCCTGGCCAGGCTGATGCTGAAGCCCTCACTTTGATGGGCAGAAGCCTGCTGGAAAGGAGGCAGGAGGGGGTAGGGTACTGGTGTCAGGACAGGTATAGTGGGTGGCTGGAAAGAGAGGAACCGGTAGACACGGGGTGCTCGGGAGAGCCTGTCTTCAGGCAAGAAGGAATGAAGGCAAGCTGGGACAGAAAGGTGGGCATTGCTGGGCGGGAATGAAATGGCTCAAGTTGGGAACTCAGGACTCCCTCCAACTCTCAGTCCTGAGTGTGATCTATCCCACTCCTCCAAGTCCCACCTCCACGAGTCCCAACGAGGACAGCCAAGACCTTTCCAAGACCTTTCCCAGAGGTGCGTCCCAGCTCCCAGATGCCCCCTCCTGCCTGGCCAGACGGCCTGCCCCTCAGACTTCCGTCCAGTGGGCCGTACTCACCCTCTACCAGCAGCCGTGTGTCGGCACTATCCCGGCCGGCCTGGCAGCAGTAGGTGCCCTGGTCCTCAGGTCGCACGTCATGGATGACCAGGCTGTGGGTGGGGCCGTGGCTGCGCATTTCATACTTGTCTCCCGGACACAGCTCGACTCCTTCCCGCAGCCAGCACACGTAGCCCCCGGAGCGGGACACGGTCACCTCCAGCACCGCCCGGCGGCCGGCCAGAACCGTTTTCTCACGAGGGGGGCGGCGGCACATCTGGAGAGGCAATGCTGAGGGTGGAAAGCAGGGCTTAAGTTAACAGGGACATTTATGGCCCCAGGAGGAGAGACGCATTTTCTCTCTCCTTGTCTCTCTTCTGTGCTACCAGTCTGTATCCCTGCACCCCCAACCCAGGCTCCTCCTCTCCACCCCCTGCCCAGAAAACGCGCTGCCCCCTGTGACCCGCCCCAAGTGAGGCCCCTTGAAGGGAAGGGAGATGAAGGAGGCTGAGTTCTTAGGATCAGCCCCAGGCCGTCAGCCCCAGAGCAGGAGGTGATGCCCTTCCCTGTTGACCCTTCCCTCCCCTAGTCTCAGTAGCTTACCCTCCACCTCCAGCAGAGCCGAGGATTGGGCGGGTCCCGCCTGGAAGCGGACTTCACCGGCGTCCTCTGCCCGCAGCAAGCTCAGCACCAGAATGTGTTTCTTCCCTACGGGGGAGGGGGGCGCTAGCGAGGCCTGAACTGCCTCTGGAGAGGGTTCGGGATGAGGGTGGGCCCAGAGTAGGCTCCGGGGTGGATTCGGACCCAGTAGGTGCGCGCCGAGATGAGTCGAGTAGGGAAGCGGACCGGGAAGAGGAGCCTCGCTGGACTCCGAGCTGGGGCGGAGGAAAGTCGGGAGAACTGGCTGCAAGGGCTGTGGGGCGGGGCCTGTTGGCGTGGAGGCGGAGCTTATCTCAGGGGGCGGGGTCTTCCTGAAACTGGGGCGGAGCAGCCAGGGGCCAGAGACGACAGGCGGCCAGACCTTCCTGTCGGATGCGGATGCGGCCTCCGGGTCTCAGCTGGCGGCCTCCAAGCTCCCAGCATCCCGGGGTCTCGGCCTCTGACACGGTGCACTCGAACGTGGCGCCGTCCCCTTCGCGGGCGCGCACCGACCGGAGCTCTTGGAGCACAGACACCCGGCGCTCTGGGGCGGAGCCCGAGAGTAAGGCGGGACTGAGGGGCGGTGTCCGACCACGCCCCTTACACGCCCCCAAACCAGAAACTCCGGGGTCTGCACTGGCGAGAGACCTGTGCGCAGCCCCGCACCCACAGCAGTGTCCAGGTCCCCTATCGCCCTATACCCACCGCGCACGGTCAAGCGGACGGGCCCGGAGCGGGACGTCTCTACTGCGCAGCTGTACGTCCCCGCGTCCGAGGAGCTGCAGCGCCGGAGCTGGAGAAGGCGGCGTGTGCCGAGGGCCTGGAGCCGGAACCGGGGGCTGGGAGTGAGCGTGCGTCCGTCCTAGAGGCGAAAGGCAGAAGGTCGTGCAGAGCCTAGCTGGGTCTCCACAGCGCGGCGGCATCCCCAGTTGAGGGCAAGCTGTCTGGAGGTGTGTTTTTGCATGGCTCTTTGGCAAGGTGTCACTCTTTGGGACATTAGGGCTGAGGAGGGCCACTAAGGGTACAGGAAAGCCAGCACCATGTATGGATCAGAGGATATAAGTGCGAATTCTAGAATCAGGCAAACCTGGATTTAGGAATGAGCTCTACCCCTTTTGTCTGCCCGTGGGCAAATAAATTCCCGCCACTGAGGGTCAGTTTCCTCATAGGTAACAAACACGGAGATAACAGGAGCTACTTCTTAGATTAATGTGAGGTTTAAGGACTAAGTGCAGTGTAAATCAGCACAATGCTGGGCACATCCATCCAGTGAGCTCTGTGGCGGGCATTATGATCACTGCTGTGCCCACGAGGTCTGTGCTGGGGCTGGGCTCTGACCTTCTCCCAGGTAACATCCGCCAAGGCCTGGGAAAGCTCACACTCGAACGTAGCTGTGTCACCCTCGGTCACCTCTAGGTCCTGTGGCCCCCGAACAATGGTCACTGGGACCTCTGAGAGTGGGAGAGGGAGGACAGTGCAGAGGAAGCATGGGTAAGAGCAAGATGAGGACCCAGCTGACAAGGACAAGGACACACAGTGCAAGGGGTCAGTGGCGGACACATTTAGACAGTGTGATCAGTGGAGGACATTGGTGATGGGGGATGTGAGAGGAAAAGTGGTTCAAGAGGGATGCTGATTAGTAGAGAACACATCAGGCCCAGTGAGGTGGGAGTGGCCAGATGGGAGTCACACTAAGGTGGTCAGTGTGAAACATGATGGAGTTTAGAGGGCATGGGGGAGACTCCATCAGAGTACCCCATAGGCAGGATGGCCAGTGGGGGCCGCACTTGGCTAGAATGGACAACGGCAGACCTGGGACAGTGGGGCCACAGTGGTTCAGCAGTGTAGGGTAGGAGGCAGAGCACTGAGGCCAGTGGGGAACACAATAGACTGGAAGACAAACTGGGGGCCCTCAAGCAGAAGTGCCAGTGGAGTCACCATAGACAATCAGTCAGTGGGCTGCAGGGCCTTGAGTGGGGTCACAGGGCCCACATGCAGGCAGGGAGAGGAATCCCAAGAGGAAGCAGTAGTTGGTGACCTCACGGAGTGACCAAGCCAGATGTGGTAGTGCACACGCGCAATCCCAGCACCCTGGGAGGCTGGGGTGGAAGGACGACTGCAAGTTCAAGCCCAGCCTGGGCCACTTAGTGACTTAGCAAGATTCTGAGCTATAAAAGTATAGCTCAGTGCCAAGCTCGTGAATTCAATCCCCAGTACCCCACCTCCAAAAAACAGGACGGAAGGAAGGAAAAAGCAACCAGCAGACACTAGGGACCGCAGTGGCACAGGCAGGCTCAAGATGGCACAGTCAGTGGTCTGCAGAGTCTGGAGCAGTTCAGCCACGTGGGGCCAGCACAGTAAGAGGAAGCACATTCAGTTTGAGTGCAGTGACACTGCCTGTGATCCCAGCACCCGGAGACTGGGGTGGAGGCAGGAAGACCACCATTGAGTTTTAGGCCAGCCTGGGCTACATAGTGAGCTCAAAAGTCAGCCAAACTACATAGTGAGACCCTGTCTCAAAAAACCTAAAACCAGGGGCTGGGGATTTAGCTCAGTGGCATAAGCGTCTGCCTTGCAAGCAGGCAGTCGTGAGTTCGATCCCTGATACCGATAAAAAGGAAAAAGACAAAAAACAAAAACAAAAACAAACTAAAACCTAAGCAAACCAAAAAACATAAAGAACAAAATGAAAAAGAGGAGCCGCCTTCAGCCAGGGCAGTTTCTGCAGCCACACAGGGTCAAGGAAGTCACACTCTGGCAGAGGTGCTGGTGAAGGTCACACCACAACTGGCAGAGTCACACAGGGAGTGGGATTAGTTGTGCCACACAGTGGGGTGGGTAGGGCCACACAGTCAGCAAACAGGCAGCAGGCCCAAGGCCACACCTCTCACAGTGAGCCTGGCAGCGCAGCGCAGGGCATCTGTCGTGAAGGAGACACAGCCGGAGTCTGCCCGGCTCAGGTCGCTGAGTACCAGACGATGTGTGTGGCCTTCGGCGTGAATGTGGCACTTGGGTCCCGGCTGGAGCCGGACTCCGCCCCGGGCCCACTCCCCGGTCACACCCTCCTGGGACAGCTCCAGCTGGAAGGTGGCGCTGCCCCCCTCGCTGATGGTCACATCTTCCAGAGGCCTCAGTGCCCGCAGCTGCCGAGCTGGTGTGAGGAGATGGGGAGGGAGGATTGGGGCTCCAGCCCTGGGCAGGGGTTGTGTGGGCTCTTGGCCCCCCTGGCCCTGCCTGCACCACCCCCAGCAGCCCCATGTAAGGCCTCGACTGCATTCGGTTCACAAGTGGGGAGGAGCAGGGGAAGAAGGTAGCACAACTGGCTACCCTTTGCAGGGGCACTCCAGTGTTAAGATGGGAGGATGCGGAAGGGAGGAAGGGGTGGTAAGGGGCTGAGCAGTCTGGGCGAGGGGTGCTCTGACACTGGAAGGAGCCGGGAATTCGGGATCAGGTACCAGGTGGTTTGTGTGCGGTGTGATCTTTGGCAAACTCCTTGACCTCTCTGGGCCCAGTTCTATAAGGTAAATAACACTGAGACATGAATTTGTTGTGATGATTAACTCAGAAGAGAATATTTTTTATCAGCAACCCTCTACCAAGGTCTAGATTGGCATTTTTCACATTATCTCAGTGTCTTTGATGTCCGAAGAGGTAGACAGCCACCCCATTTTTAAGGAAATGTGGCTCAGCGAGAGTGATGAGAGGTCAAATATCACGCAGGAGGTCACAGAGCCAAAAGATGGCTGGGGGTGACAGAGGGAGGGATTGCTATTTGTCAGTCACCTTTGCTTCTTAAATGGGCACTTGTCAGTGCCTAAAGGGAGTCTTTCTAGCATATAGTAATATTTATGTTTATAGCAAAGCCGACTGAGAAACAGGAAATGGAAGACAGAATCACATGGGCTTCTGAGGTAAATGGAAGTCATCAGAAAACGGAAAGTTTCGCGATGGGCAGCTGCTGGGTCAGCCTGTGCTAGGATGGCCGAGGCTGGCTTTCCTCAGCACCAAGGGGCACTTTGGTGGGGTCTGGGCGGTTCAGGGCAGCCTGGCAGGCCATGCTAGGGGCGGGTGAGGTGTTAGAAGGCGGGGCACTCACGCCTCACGCTGAGCCTGGCCAGGGTGCGGTCATGGTGACTCTCGCAGCCGTAGGTGCCCTGGTCAGCCAGCACGACGCCGTGGATGAAGAGGCGGTGGACGTGACCCTCTTGAGCCACGCACAGGCGAGAGTCGGGCGGGAGTGGGTCCCCGCCTCGCATCCAGCGCACAGCCCCTGGGGTGCCCTCGCGGCCGGTCTCCACCTCGAGGCACACGTCCTGGCCCTCCTCTGCCCGCACGTCCTGCAGTCGCCGCAGAAACAGTAGCTCTGTCTCTGGCAGGAGGAAGGGAGGAAGCCCTGAATCCAGGAGCCCCAAGCCCCCAGCGCAGGATGGGGGCTGACCCTGATCCATCCTACTGCTCTGCCCTGGGCCACAGTGTAAGTCTGTTAGGGTCACCGCCAGGGGCACTGGCTGGGGGCTGCAGCCCTTCATCCTCATTAGCACCAAACCTCGAACATGAAGCCGGGCACTGCTGGCTGTGCTCCCTGCCTGTGCTGTCACAGTCCCTGCGTCCTCGAGCCGGCAGCCTCGCACAGTCAGTGTCCGGCTTGAGCCATTCTGGGCCACTTCCAGCTGGGGCCCGGGAGTGACGATAGCGCCATTGCGCAGCCAGGTGATGTCGGCATCCGGGGGTGAAACTTCACAGCGGAATGTGGCATCATCGCCCTCGTGGACAGTGAGTGGTGTCAGCTCTGAGACCAGCTTCACTGGTGGCAGCTCTGGAGGGTGGGATCGCGCTGTGAGCGGGGCTGGGTCTTTCCTCTTCTCTTTCCATTCCCTCCTGGGGCACAGACCTCCTCCTCTATGAGGAATCTTGGAGAAGGCGGCCTCTACCCTCATCCAAGGACGTTGGCATGCAGAATGGAGCCAGGGCAGGGAGGCAGGGGTAGGGAACGAGAAGGGCTCAGAATGACAGGGATGCCATGGCTCGACAGTTGAGAGGGGTACACTGTTACCTTCCACAGTGACGAGGAAGATGCGGCTGTCCTGGGGTGCATCGCACAGGTACTCCCCAGCATCCCTGCTCCGTGCCCCCTGCACCCGCAGCACCTGCCTGGCCCCGGCCTGCTCCAGCTGCACCCGCCCCTGGCTCGCCAGGCGCTCCCCGTCCTTGTACCAGCGCACAGGGCCCCCTGGCCCGGAGAGGTGCACCACCAGCTCCAGGTCTCCGCCTGGGGCGCTTCGAACCCTCGTCTGGGCTGCCTCAGGGGCCACCACCCTCACAGGGCGCTCTGCAGGGTCAGAGCTGGGGGTCACTGGGAGAGAGGCTCAGGGTGACAAAGGTGTAGGGAGGAGGGATGGGACAGCTGGGGCAAGGCATGGACAAGGTGTGCTGGGAAAGCAGAGGAGCTCATGGGTGGCCAGGGGGTGTGACTCAGGCTTTCTGCTTAGGCTTTACTCACCAGCCACCTGGACAGTGAAGCTGAGGCTCGGTGCCCCTGGGGCCATCCCACACTGGCAGGTATAGAGGCCTGCATGGGCTGGTTCTGCAGCCTGGATGCAGAGGGCACGGCGGGGGCCCTCGGCCTGGAGCTTCAGGCCCTTGCCTTCCTGCACTGGGCTTCCATTGTGGCTCCAGGACACAGCTGCAGTTGCCCGGGACAGTTCACAGCTCAGTACCACGGGCTCCCCTGGGGCCACGCAGAGTGGACTGGGGGCTGCTTCTGGTGCCAGAAACTGCACCGGGGGCTCTGCAGAAAGAAAAGAAGGTGTGAGCCCATGCCTGCTCCACCATCCCTCCCCAGGCTGGCCGGACGCACCCACCAGCCAGGCTGACATTGAAGGTAACCGCCTCATCACGGGTCTCGCACACATACTCCCCAGCATCCTCAGGCTGCGCGTGGGGCAGGGTGAGGGTGCGGGAGGGCCCCTCGGCACCCAGTTGCAGGGCATCAGATACTTCCACCTCCAGCCCATCCTTGAACCAGCGGACCTGGGACCCAGCTGGGGCCACCTCGCAGTGCAGCTCCACGCGGCCTGGAGCCCCAAACTGCAGATCCAGGGTACGGGCTGCCGGGTGCACAATCCTCTCTGGTGGGGCTGGTGTATGGGCAGACAGAGGGCCACGTGGGTTGGGCCAGTGGCCTCTTCCTGCCTCACCCCACTGATGCTCAGCCCTCTCCCCTTGCAGTGCAGCTCCCCACCTACATGCCCTGGGGAGACCACGCCCTGTGCTAAGCATACTGTGGCTCTTTTCTCAGCTACTCCAGACCACTGTGCGTCACAGATAGACATAAGATCTCCTTAGAGAGAAGCGTCTTGCCCAGGGTCCAAAACCAAAGATCCAGATTCACTCCCAAATGTATGCACCCCTTCCCCAAGCCTACCTCCACTTCCCTCCCTGTTCCCTGCTTTGCTTCTGACATGCTTGGCACCACCCAGCACAACATCTTTTTCACTTTTTTTTTTTTTTTTTTTTTTTTACTAAAATGTAACCCCATGCACACTGTGAAGACTGTGTCCCATTGGCTCGGTAGTGTATGCCCAGCATCAAGAACAGTGAATGACAGAATGCATGGTCCTAAATGCTGGGCTCCCTCCCAGCAGGCTCTCTGATGGCTTAGAACCAGGAGGCTGAGGAGCTGGGAGAGACTAGGAAGGGACAAGCAGTGAGTGTCCTTGAGATGCAGGACGTAGGGATGCCTGGGTGCCTGGTCTCTCAGTCGCCTGCTTCTCTACCTCTCTGGCGTCCCCCAGGCACTGCCCACCTGTGACAGTGACAGTGAAGAAGGCCGAGTCATCTCCAGCATCACACACGTACTCGCCCCCATCCTGGGGCTGGGCAGCAGGCAGAATGAGGCGGCGGCAGGGCCCATCGCTCTCCAGCACCAGGGCCTCGCTCTCCTCTACCTCCAGACCGTCCCTGTACCAGCGCACTGGGGCGTCCTCCCGGGACAGCTCACATGTCAGCACCACACATTCCAAGCTCACGGCGATCAAGGCCACCTCATCCCGGGGGTTAATAATCCGCACGGGGGGTTCTGCAGAGGGGCACCATAGCAAGCTCACCATTAGGCTCCCTGGAAGTTACTGGGCAGCATGCAGTCCCTGTCACATGCATGGTCACAGGCATAAAGAATGTGGACAGTAACAACAGGTCCACAGTCTGCTCTTGGAAATCTCCACGGTCAGCAGTGCTATGGAATCCAGACTCCCTTGAGTCCTAGAAACACTGCCATTCCCGTATATCACAGCTCAGCCCCTACTGGAGGCATCCCCCCAAAAATCATCACGGTAACACTTCTGCACTGTCACCTATATTCACACTTAGCAGGAAAAACCGAAAGATAAATTCTCGTCGATGTAAATGTGTAGCTGTATCTGTCCTCTTGGATAATTACAGTAGAACTGGCTTCACGGCAGTTAAACTCAGCTTGACTGAAGTGACTTTGAATCTGAAGCTTACAAAAGGCTTTTGATTTTGAGCAGGGGGGATTTCAGAGCTGTAAGGGATGGTTGTATTACTTCCAGACCGATGCCATGCACTTCAAACATTAAACCTCACAGAGATCCCAGGGGTACATATTATGTTGTTTCCATTTTCCTTTTTTTTTTTCCGCATGAAAGAACAAGGGTGCACTGTGATTCGGCAATTTCCTTAAGGTCACAGCTGGCTACAACTACTCTAGGGCAAGAGGAGAACACGCCATCTGTCCTGGGGAGGCGCACACCCTACAGGCAGTGGTAGATTCCAGTGCAGGTCTGGACTCAACAATGTTTTTGCATCTGTGCTTGGGAGTTGCCAACACCTGTCGGAGCTTTCCCCATGATAGGTGGGGACTGTGGGGGCGCTGGCCACTCTTCCACAGAGGGAGCCATGGCAATACTGGAGGTGACCAGTGCATGGAGCTCAAGCCTGCCCACACCCCTGCTTCCCCAGTTCCCTAGCGTGTCTGGCCCCCTTGTGGTTGAGTTGGGGAACTGCGAGCTTGGAGCCTCAGTAGGCCTCCTTGGGGACTGTTCCCTTGTGCCCCTTCAACTCATCTCAGATGAGGCCTGCTCTAAGCCTGGAGAATATAGGTGGGTTCTCCAGGGCCCAGCAAGGCCAGGAGATTGCAGTGGGTGGCTTCCTGGGCAGTAGGGGAGGTGAGGGGAGTGGGATAAGGAGAGGGTACAGTGATGGGGCTGGCATGTCCCCACACAGAGACCTCAGCTTGTTGTGGGAGTTAGGTCACTCTGACCTGCAGCTGAGGTGATTTATGTGAACTTCCCTGTGAAGAGACTGGTGTTGTGAACATGGAAAGCCCATGTATGGGCTGGGATTTGTGTGGTTCTGGTCACACATATGTGAAGATGAGTGGAAATGGGTCAGAATGCATGCGGACTTTGTTCCCATTGTGTGTCACTATCTGGGGTGCCGGGAGTAGAGGACCCCTTCGCAGGTATGCCTGGGCTTGGCATTACTCCCAGGGAAGAGGAGGGGAAAGGGTGACAGGACTGTGCCAGCAGGATGCTCACTCCAGCGTGGCTATCTGGGATCTTCTTGATGCTTGAACACCCCCACACATACACTCCGTGACCGTGGCCCCGAAATCTCCAACACAGAACCGCTATCTCTTCCAGGTTGTTCTGCCTTTTGCTAGAATATTCTCTGCCTACCTCACCCCACCCCCACAGAGCCCTGGTGTCAACTCTGAAGGCACTTTCTGACCACAATAGTGGCCCTAGCCTTGGGATTCCTACGGGGGTCCTCAACTGCCCACTCCTCTGGGCCCCTTCGAGTGCGTGGCTCTCCAGCTGCTCTGGGAGGAAGTCAAAAGGTCTGTTGCATGCTGCTGGGTGTCCAGCGGCCAAGCCAGGGCTGGACCTGACAGATGACTTTCTCCAAGGCCTCTCCTTGCTCCTCTTCCCTCACAGCACTTATCACAAGGTGTCACTGTATGTTTATTTGCATGTTTATTGGTTTAACAGGGATCGTAAACTCAAAGCCCACAGGGGCCAGGAAGGATAGGTCAGTAGCTGAAGCAGTGTGGAAAGCAGTAAAAAAAAAAAAAAAAAAAAAAAAGGAATGGCAGCGAGGGTGGGATGGAGGTTAGGGGCCCCATGCTATGGGGCGGCTGTTACTCAGCACCAGCTGTTCGTCGCCATGGGGGAAAGCGGGACCAGAGCCGCCGGGTCTTCGGCTTTTTCAAGAGGATGCATAAATCCAGGTTGTTATCTGAACTGTCCTGACTTTGGTAAGACTCTGCGGGCCAAACAAAACACATCTGTGGGCTGCACTGGGGCCCCATGGGCTGGCTGCCTGTTTGTGACCCCTGGTTAACAGCTGCTGTCCCAGTAGACTGGCAGCTCCCTGAGACCTGAGACAGACTGTGTCTGTGTCACTGACCAGTTACTCTGGCCCCAGCCAAGTGCCTGGATGGGTCTGTGTTCGGATGCTGAGCTGCTGTAACACAGCTAGTCCTGGCCTTGGCACTGGGCGGGGGCCTGTTCACTTGAATAGGGATCTTGGCTCTTCCCCACAGGACCCTCATGCAGCACCTACCTACAGCCCACACTTCCTTCCTCACCAGTGTACTCACAAGCAAGGGGCTACTCTGCGAGTTCCCCCAGGGCACCACGCTGTCCTCTGCTGAGCCTGAAGAGCTGGGTGGGCCCATACCTGTGACTGTGACAGTGAAGGAGGCCGACTCGTCATTGATTTCACACAGGTACTCGCCGGAGTCCTCCAGCTGAACGGCAGGCAGCACTAGGCGGCGAACGGTGTCCTCCTTCTGCAGGAGTAGTGCGGGACTCTCCACCACCTCTGTACCATCCTTGGTCCAGCGCACCTCGGCCCAGGGCCGGCACAGCTCACAGGTCAGCACCACGCGCTCCAGGAGCACAGCTGCCACATATACCTTGCCACTGGGGTACACAATCCACGAGGAGACATCTAGAGGACAGGGACAGCCGCTGCTGGACATGAAGAGCCATGGTCTATTCCCTATGCCCGGAAGGTAGGGCACATGTTCAAAGGGACTTCCCCCATACAGTTGCTCATAGCTGGGGACAGACTTCCCTGGACACAGCTATCATGGTCAAGGAAATAACTGAGGTCACCAAAGCAGGAGCTCTGTGTTATGCAGGTGCTGCACAGTGAGACCATGTGTCACCCTCGGCTGTACAAACACCCCATGCCCTTCATGTTGTGGCTGGGTCCTTGGGTGGAGCTGAGGTCTCCCCTAGGCCTCTGAGAGCTTGGGGGCTCTCTGATGCCCAAGACCCTCTGCTCTGCAGCAGGAATGCCATCCCCAAAGAGGCCCCATGGCGGAGGTCTTGGGAGGATGCAGAATGCAGGGTTTCCCTGCTGTTTGGGTAGCCAGGCCCATGAGCTTAGGACAGCACAGTTTCTGAGCATGGTGAGACCACAAGCAGAAGAGAAAGGGGAGGCTGAGAGGGCTGCAGAGTGACCCAGGACTGAGCATGTGACAACAGCTCCAGCAGACCCCAACCTGTGATGGTGACTGTGAAGCAGGCACGCTCTTCTCCAGCGACACACTGGAACTCGCCCCCATCCAGAGGCTGGGCGGCAGGCAGCACCAGGCGGTGATGAGGCCCCTCGTTCTCCAGCACTATGAAATCACTCTCCTCCACCTCCTGGCCGTCCTTGTACCAGTGCACAAGGGCGTCCTCGCGGTCCACCACACAAGTCAGCACGACACACTCAGAGGTTATGGCGTGTACAAACACGTGCTCCTGGGGGTCCACAATGTGCACTGGGGGGTCTGAGTGGGGAACAGAGATGATTACACAGACACCCTACATGTTGGAGGCCTGAATCCAAACTGGCCTCAAGGAGAGAACACTGCACGGGGGACACTGGAGGGAGGGATTTAAAGCTGTGCTGCTGCTGGGGAGGAGGGTGGGGCAATGTCATGGGACCCTGTTGGCGGGGCAGGCGAGAGATGATGGGGATCATGCAGCATCTGAATGCCCCATGGGCCTCCAGAGGATGAGCAGTAGCTGAGTGGGGACTTGGAGAAGGGAGGCACGTAAGTTCACACAGGGGCAGCCACCATTTATCCAGGCAGAGGAGGTCACTAAAACATGTCACACTGGCTGAGCATGCAGTTTCCTTTACAGAGAAGCTGCCAGGATGAGCAGAGTGGAGAATGACTTAACAAGTGACAACCAGCTGCTGCAGGGGTAGAGCAGTGGCGTGGATATGGGTCACCTTTCCAAAGGTCCATTTGTCGAAACCTCATTCCTCAGGTTGGTGCCATTGGGGGTGCCATGGACTCTCGGTAGGAGGGTCCCATGAGAGGCCCTCAGGTTGTTGGGATGGCTCCTGAAGGGTACTGTGGGACCCCAGACTCATTCTCTCTTTCGCTGGCTAGACACAAAGTGAAACTTTGCCCTGCCACATGCTCCCTGCCACACCCACCTGAAGCCCACTTAGATTGGAACCTTTTAAACTGTAAGCAAAAGAAGCCTTTTCTCTTTGTAAGTCAGTTATCTCAGGTATTTTGTTACAGTGACAGGAAACAGGCAAACACATGCAGTGAGTTCCTTGCAATGGATGCGTTAAGATAGGGGCCACGGGACCTCCTGGTGCTGGCGCTAGAAGCAGGATTTCCAATCAAAGGGAGAAGAGGAGCAGAATCCGTGCTCCCAAGAATCAGCTTCGCCGAGCAAGGACTCACAGGCTCATTCCTGAATGCTCTAGCGCTGGGGAGCCTGGGAGGCCTGGGCATATGTATTTGTAGCAAGCTTCTAGGGTGTTCCTGAGGCACTCAGACCACCGTCTGCCTTGCAAGACCCACTGGGCCAGTGCATTTGACACCTCTGCATGATCTGACTGCCTGGAGCAGCAGAAGACCAGCCTGGGTGTGAGGGTGAGCTATGACATTTGCTGGCCATGTAATAAGGGGAAGGAAATCACATTACCTCTCTAAGACTCCTTACTTGTGTATTAACTGGAGCTACATTGCCCTTCAATGGTCCAAGAAGATTAAATGAAACAATGTACCTATGAGATACCTAACATACTACTAGGTTCAGAGAAGGTGGCCAATGAATGTGAGCGCCCATGCCTGCTTTCTTTAACTGCCTTTCATTCTCTCATACGACCCAGCAGAGGGATCTAGGGGTTAGAGTGATCTAAAACACACATTCTGGCTCACCAGGCCTTTTCTATATAAGATCCCCCACTCCCCCAACCAGCCGGACCAGGGTACAGGACTTAGTGGCCCCCAGGGTCAGCCTCAGCTGGAGAAGCCCAGGCCAGCACAGCTCCTGACCTTGGACCCTGACGCTGAAGAAAGCCGAGACACCTTCTGTTCTGCACTCAAACTCGCCGCTGTCTTGGACTCTGGCCTCGGGCAGGATGAGACGATGTTTGCGCCCATCCACCTTCACCACAAGTGACTGGCTCTCCTCCACTTTCTGCCCGTCCTTGTACCAGGTTGCTGGGAAGTCCACCCGAGAGAGCTCACAGGTAAGCACGACCCTCTCCAAGGCCGTGAAGGTCAATGACACCTTGTCCTCAGGACTCAGGATGTGCACCGGGCTCTCTGCGGGGAGAGAAGTTGTCACAGGCAGCATCCTCAGAGCCCTCTGCTTCAGGTCAGCATACGCTTAGTGTAGGGGGCATCAGGGAAGACACATTTGTTGGGCCTCAACTAATGTGTTTTGGACTTTCCCACGGTTCAGCTATGATTTGAGTGCTTGCCCCAAAAGTTCATGTGATGGAAGTTTGATCTTCAGTGTGGGGGTGCTAGCAGGCAGTGGGACCTACAGGGGGAGCTGGTTTGCAGGAAATGAGGTTAGCAGGAGTATCCCTCTTGGAAGCAATTCATGTAGCTCCCAAGGGATCCAGCTGGGTCTGGAGATAGTGGGCTATTATAAAGCGGGACAAGCTAGGCCATGTGGCTCCTGCACACAACCATTTGCCTTCTCACTTCTCCACATTGTGCCTCACCAGATGCTGAACTGATGGGGCTGCCCAATCTTGCAGCCCCTAGAACTGTGAGCTAACCAAATTTTTCTTTGCAAAGAATCCAGAATCAAACATTCCGTTATAGGCACAACTTTTTTTTGGCCAGTGCTGGGGATAGAACCCAAGACCTTATTCACACATGCTAGGCAAATGTCCTACCACCAAACTCTGTTTCCAGTGCTGATATAGCAAGAGAAAATGTATCAGAACAACTTATACTCCAACTTCTGTGGGGGGGGGTACCTGAGATTAAACTTATGATCACCAGCCAGGCAGATGTTTAACTGCTGAATTAAACATCCAGCCCTACTCTTAACTCTTAAGAGGTTTTAGCATGCCTAACAGTTCCCAGAGAGCCTGCTAAAATGCAGATTCTCAAGAGTTCCAAGCATGTAGAGGTCAGGGCACCTGCACGATAAATCTGTGATGTTGGTGGTCCTGGGTCACATTTTGGAAATGCTGCTCTAGCTGCTGTTTATTTCTGCCTTTGCCTCTGCTTGCAATGCTGCCGATTAACCACCTTAAGGACCCAGGTCTGGCTGCTGCTGGATTTCTTGATTTTATACCCTTCAGCAATCATGAGACGGCAAGTACCACAGTGTTGCTTGGATTTTTCAGCCCACCTGCCCACCTCCTCTGGGACGCCTCATTGCCTCTCCTTTGCTGTTTCAACAGGAGGCAAAGACTGCCATAATCCAGCTCCACCACACACTAGCTATGGGTAAGTCAAATAACCACCCCGTGCTTCAGTTTCCCCACCTAAAATGAAGATAATAAAAGAACCTAACTTATAGGGCAGTTGAGAGCATTGTGTTCCTTTCTTTATGTCAAGTGATCAGGACAGTGCCTGGCATGCAAGAAGCTGCTCTCATGGTATTGATGACCAGCCAATGGGTCAGGGACTATAGTCTAGGGTCTAAGTCCCTCAAATGAGATGAGAAATGGGACAGAATTCTGCAAAGCACAAAGCACTCGGACTGTTGGCAATGACCATGATGAGGCTGACATGGGATACCCTGAATGTTTCATATGGATTGAAACCGGTCTTTTGGACCTCCGAGCCCACAAGCAGCCCATCATGGATGTAAGATGGGCCTTTCTCTCCTGGCTCAGCTTTAAGAAACAGGAACAGCCCCCGCTTTGTCTGGTAACAGGACTTTTATGTTTGAGCCTGTCCACCCATTTTGGTCCCTACCAGCACCAACCTTGGATGGTGAGGGCAGCTGAGTCTTGTACACCAGGGCAGCTGAAGCCAACCAGGGCCCCACTATCCTGGTGCTTGACGGCTTGCAGGATGAGTCGGTGCTGCAGGCCCTTCTGCTCCTTCCGGTACCGCAGGGCCCCCAGCTCTACCTGGCCCTCTGGCTCATTACCCTTGAGCTCTTCCCCGTTAAGGAACCAGGTGCCCTGGATGATGGTGGAGAGCTTGAGGGAGAAGATGGCATCTTCCCCATCATAGACCTGCACGTCTTCCAGACCTGCCACCAGGCGAGCTGTGGGCACTGAGGTAAACACAGAGTGTGGCTGTCAAAACTGTAAACTGTAGCAGCGGGTAGGGGCTGGCAGATGGAAGGACGTGAGGGAACAGAGACTGAGCCCCAGGAAAGGAAGATATGAGGGAGAGCGTGACTGACAGGCAGGGCCTGGCAGGATTGACTCACCAAGGTGAGCAGAACCCTGGAACACTATGTGGGGACTGCGGCCGTGTTCGCTGACCGTGCAGATGCGGAAGCGGTAGTCGCCTTCAGAGGGCACGCAGTCCCCAGGCACCTCCACGGTTCCAGCTTTTTCCACGCTAAAGCACTGGATCCAGTCTTCAGAGCCCACTTCCTGCCGCTCCAGCCGGTAGATGAAGGAGGTCTCGGGAAGTGGCTCTGGAGGCTTCCAGGTTAGCAGGATGGTGTTCTTGTGGCCCTTGAACATCTCAGCCATCATGGGGGGTCCTGGAGGATTGTGCTTCATGCCTGAGACAAAAGCCAGGCTTGCATTTGGGCTTTGCCCTGGAACCTAGTCACCCTCCCACCTTGACCCTCTTGTCCAGGGGTTGCTCACATTTGACTCTGAGCAGGGTGGTTGTACGTGAGTTGCCTAGGCTAAAGGTGACTTCACCAGCATCTTCTCTGGTGACCCCTGGAAGGACCAGGGCATGCATATGGCCAGAGATGCTCTGGCAGATGGCTGGCAGCTCCTCCCCATTGCGGCTCCAGTGGCCCTTGACGCCAGCCTCTTGTGTCTCCACTAGCAGCACAGCATTCTCTCCCTCCAGGACATCGAGCTTCCGGGGCAGCCTTTTCAGGATGGGCCCTGAGACGTGGATGGGAGCCCATCAGCCTGCTGTCTAGGCTCCGGCCAGCCTCAGCCATGGCCTCCTCCCACTGGCCAGCCAACCTTTGACTGTCACATTGGCCACAGTGCGAACCCGGCCCCGCATCTCGCACAGGTAGACGCCGTCATCATCTGCCCTCAGCCTGTGTATGATGAGGCGCCGGATGGCGCCCTCCTCGATCTGCTCATACTTGCGGCAGGGCAGCAGCCGCTGGTCCTCTCGGAACCAGGCTGTGGGGATGCGGGAGTTGGGCACTTTACACTCTAGCACCACAATGCCATTCTCCCGGCCCTCCGCGTCCTGCAGGGGCCTCGTGAAGCGGAGGCGGGGCTCTGTGGAGGGAGACAAGAGAAGGTTCTAGAGAGGGGCCAGTCTGGCAGGCCTAAGCATCTGTGAACTTATGCTGTTTCTCCTTGCCTCTCCCCTCCCCCAGCTCTCAGGCCTGCAAAGTCTCAGCAAAACCAGCAGAAGGGGTGGAAGATGGCCTGACTTGTCATCTGGCCCTGACACTCACTAGCCACATCACATCACCTTAAGCAAGTCCACGTCGATGTTCCTCTGCCTCAATTTCCTTACTTGTAAAATGGGGAAGTGAAGGGAAGGGGCCGAACCAGATCAGGGATTATTCAAACTGTTCCCTGGGCCTCTCAGAGGCACATCCCAAATTCTGCAAGGATCTGAGTTGATTTTCATTTTTAAAGCATTCTAACCATTTTCAAAACTGTATTTCCCAACTAAGAAACACAGTGCGGCAAGCAAGTGAGCAGAGGGTTAACTTGGGCTGCTGGAGAAGCTAAGCTCTGGTAAGTGCCTCTGGCTTTTCTTCTTGAGTCCAGGTCACTCAGGCAAGTTTGGGCAGAGCGCGCTGTCCCCGGGAGGCCATCATTGCAGTCTGGGTGCTACATGCTTCACGGCATGCCAGGCAAGGCTCCCAAGAATCTGCCAACATTTTTTCCTCCAAGGCAGAAAGTGGGGCACTAACTAGTGAAGGTGTAATCTCTCGAGCTGTGGTGAAATTCTGTGATGCAGAGCTTTCATGGCAGTGGGGCTCTGGGGGTGTGTTTTGTTTTGTCTGAATTTTCTGTTTATGGATAATGTAAGCATTTATTATATATCACTGATGATTCAGCTTTGCAATATACTTCCTGCCCTTTCAAACCTGAGGAAGGGTGTAATAAAAGAATACTCAAAAATTAGCTGGGCACGGGGTGGGGGGGGGCATGAGTAATAATCTCAGCTATTACTTGGGAAGGTGAGGCAAAAGGATCATAAATTTGAGCCCACTTTGGGCCGTTCAGTGAGACATTATCTCAAACTAAAAAAGGCTGGAAATGTAGGTCAACACAGAAGCCCTGGGTTCAATCCCCAGTACCACCAAAGGAAAAAAAAAAATTGCAGGACATTTTTCCTTCCACAAGCCTACTGCCCTCGTGAATGCGAGGTGGCTCCTCCACAGACCCGCCATGAACAAAGCCTCCATTCCAAATGTGCGTGTTCAATACAAAAGCCCCGATGTTCACTGACTAGTATTATAAATGATAAATTTAGATTCAGCAATGTATACCCATAAAATGTTCATCGTGTGTGTGTGTGTGTGTGTGTGTGTGTGTTTGTGTACTGGGGATGGAACTGAGGGGCGCTCAGTCACTAAACTACACCCCGTCTTTTTTTATTTTTTGTTTTAAGACAAGGTTTCTCTAAATTACCCAGGTTGCCTGCAAACCTGTGCCCCTCCTCCCTCAGCCTTTCCAGTTATACGCTCCCATTTATCTGCGTTACATATTGGTGTCATGGAGAGGAATTCAGCAGGGAAAATGGGGTTAAACCAGCCAAGGTTGAAAACTACTAGGTAAAAAGAGCTCTAGGGCTTCGAGGTTTGTACATTACTCCTTAGTGGTTTCCAGTGTCTATCTGGGAAACTCCTGAGTAGTTTGCTAAGTACTGTAGACCTATTAAACATGAACGCAGGGGGCTCCACTCCCCGGGCTTCCAGGCAGCTCTGAGCACCCGACGCAGGAGATACAAAGGCATCCGCGGGTGCTGGCTGCCCTCCCCAGCACCGCTGCCCGGGACGCGCTACCTTTCACGTGCAGCTGCACAGCGCTGAGCGTCTGGCCTGCGGAGTTGCGCGCTGCGCACACGTAGAGCCCGCGGTCCTTGGCCTGGCAGTAGAGCACCTTGAGAACGAAGCCGCCGTCGCGGTCGCGGTACATGAGGCGGCGGCGGTCGGGGAGTAGCGGGCGGCCCTCCCAGTGCCATTCGATCTCGGGCTCAGGCTTGCCCATCACATAGCAGCGGAACTTGGCGTGCTTGCCCTCGTTCACCCAGAAGGTCTTGGGCGCACATTTCTGCGGCTCCGCCACGGGCGTGGGGGCCTCGTCAGAGTCCTCCGGAGGGCTCTCGGGGGGCTGCTGCACTTGGAGCAGCGCCCCCGCCTGCGCGTGGCCGTGCGCGTTGCGGGCGTGGCACACGAAGACGCCCGAATCGGGCAGCCGCGCCGCCGGGATGCGCAGCGCCAGGCTGGAACCGGGGCCACCCGCGGCGCCGCGCTCCAGCGCGAAGTGGCTGCGGTCCCATACCTCGTCCAGGGCCAACCCGTCCTTCTCCCAGTACAGCGTGGGCGCAGGGAGGCCTCCCACCCGGCACGTCAGCACCACCTCCGTGCCCCGCAGCACCCACTGCGACCGGGGCCCCGTCAGGAACACCGGGGGGCCCTCCTTGCTGCCCGGCGGTGGCGGCGGCGGCGGCCGCGCGGCGCGCTGGGGCTCGGGCTGGGGCTCAGGGGCAGGCGGCTCGAGCACGGTGACGGCGGCAGCCGCGTAGGCCTCGCCGGCCGCGTTGCGCGCGCGGCACACGTAGACCCCGGCGTCGGTGGGCAGCGCGCGGCTCAGCAGCAGGCCGTGCTCGGCGCCGTCCGCCGGGAAGCTCAGGCGCTCCGAGGCCGCCAGCGGCTGGCCGCCCTTCTCCCACACCACGGTGGGCGGTGGCTCCCCCAGGACCACGCACTTGAGCTCGGCCTCGGCGCCACTCACCACCCGCACGGGCCGCGGAAAGCGCAGGAAACACGGGGGGCTCCCCTGGTCCCCCGACCCCGCCTTCATCCCGGCTAGCGCGGATGGGGACGGGTGGGCGGCCGGGGTTCCCGGGGGTGGGCGCGCTGAGGAGCTGTGCCCGGCCGACCCTCCCTAGTTGGCCTTCTTACCCTCGGCCCGGAGCTGCGGCGCGGCGGAGATTCCCGGGCCCACAGCCGGAGCCCGGAGCTCAGGGGACAGACTTCCTGTTTGCCTTTCCAGCAAGGGGCCCCGCCGTCTCCACTGCCCGCGGCCTGGCTTCCTGCTCCGGGAGCCTCTCTTCCCAGCCCCCTCCCGCGGCCCAGACCTCTCTCCCCTCCTCCCGCCCACTTCCAGCCGCCAGGTCCCGACCGACCGCCCCGCCAGGCTTCGGCCTCGGCCTGAGTGGCAGAGGCGCCTGCAGCTGCCAATCCCAAAAATATTCTCTGATGACACAGCTGGAGGGCAGGAGCCCGGTCTGGCTCCTCTAGGCTAAGTTTAGAGCAGGCCAGGACCACCTGCCCCCCACTGGGGCCCCAGTTCTAGCCCCAACCCATCCCCCACGCTGGGCCAGCAGCTGCTGGACTGAAGGGGGCCCCAGAAGGTCCGAGGGGGCTGGTGTATTCGGTCTTTAGGACAAGTGACACTTTCAGAAGCTGGCCAACCTCAGCTCCCTGGCTCCTGTCAACCCAATGTCACGTCTGTCGGGTGCCGGCATGTGAGACACTGTGTGTGTGCACACATGTGCACACGCGTGCCCACACGGCATGTGTGGGGCAAAGCGTGTGCTTGTCTGTGTGGATCGGGTCACTCAGGGTGAATGCCCTCTGCACCTCCCTCCCTCACATTCTTGGCGGGAGTGGGAGATAAGGCTCAGGGCCACAGACATCTGCGTCAGAGATAGGAGCTCTCAATGCCATGGGTAGGGGCCACTGGGACGGCAGGGCGTGGGAAGGACTGAGGAAGACCAGGATGAGGAGAGTAGAAGAGGGCGGTGGTGGGATGGGCAGGGGACGCTGGGAAGCTCTGGGCAGACCCTGGCAGCAGGGGCGCAGGGCAGGGACTGCGTTCTGCCTTGGCAAGGTCAGGTGAGCCATGGCCCCCCAGCTGCCCCTGCTGCTGCTTTTGCTGTTGGCCCCACAGGGAGGTCATAGCTGCCATGAGGCAGAGCTGGACCGGGAGCTCGTCCTGGCCAAGGTGAAGGCCCTATTCCTGGATGCCTTGGGTCCCCCAGCGGTGACTGGGGAAGGTGAAATTCCTGGAGCCAGGCGGCTGCCCCGAAGACACGCTGCAGGGGCCTTCATCCGCAGGGTCTCAGAACCAGAGCAGGAGGAAGTCTCCCAGGCCATCCTTTTCCCAGCCACAGGTAAGGAGGGTGGGGACCAGGCAGGGTGACTCTGAGAAGCAACCTGGGAGCCAAGCTGGCCTGACTTTGAAGCCTAGGCCTGTCACTCAGCTGGCTTTGCACCAGTGGGCCGGTTACTAACCTTCCCTGAGCCTCTGTCTTCTCATCTGTCTAATGGGTAGATAGCACTTTCCTCTCAGAACTCAGTGAACTCTGCATCTAGAGTCACTGGTACCTGGAAAGCCTCTGGGACACCAGGCCTCTAGAGACAGAGCCCTTACTTCAAGCCCTGTAAGGTGAAACTAGACGAGATATCAAGGGTGCTAGAAAATGCTGAGTTCCTGTCTTCTGTGTGTGTTTCACTGTGTTCTGGTGACCGATCGAATGGATAAGCCTTCCTCTGGCTGGGCTTTCTGTTAGAGAAGACTCCCTATGTGGTTTACTGGGGGAAAATACGGCTTTGGCTCAGGTCTGGCCGCTTAGTTGAATGTCACTTCATCCTTTTTTTTTTTTTTTTGCCTTTTTTATCGGTACCCGGGATCAAACTCACGACCACACACTTGCAAGGCAGACGCTTATGCCACTGAGCTAAATCCCAAGCCCTGTCACTTCATCCTTTAAAGCTTCATTTGCTTGTCAGCAAAATGAACCCCTCATTATGAATTTATAATGAGAAACTGTGTGACAGTGTAGCCCCAGTCGCCAGCCCTTTGACTGAGGCTGGCCCATGATTATTACACGTAGTCCACATATATGTCTGGGCACAGAGGCCAGCTGCGCTAGCTCGGGAATGACTGTGCTTTATTCTGAGTGATTGCCTTCTTCCTCTTCCTCATTTCCCCCATCTTCTCCCCCTCCTCCTCCTCCTCCTTTTTGGTGTGCATTAAGCTGCCATTTAAAAACAGAATTATTTTAAGTAATTTATCATATACTGTTTCTGATGTGCCAAAAGATATAAATAATATAACACCCACATTGGCAGCATTTAAGATACCATGTCACACTATCTGGTGAACAAAAATTTAACAGTTCTAAGTCTTGGTGGAGGTGGAGAGTGACACTCTTACACTTCGATGTTTGGAATATTAACCAGTAAAAATGCTTCAGAGAGAAGTTGGCAATGTTTCATAGTTTGTAGCTGCTTTAATGATGACATAAAAAAATGGGGATCTATGTCAGTTACCCTAAGGCCCCAGGTCTGGCGGGGCACCCTACAGAGGTGCGGCACATCCTTAGCCCGCTGTGAGTGCCAGCCACACCCCACCTGTTGAGGTGAGTGGTCCTGGGTCCTGCTGGTCAGGGCTGTCCTCTCTCTTGCCTTGTGTTCCCTGCAGGTGCCAGCTGTGAGGATGAGGCAGCTGCTGGAGGGCTGACCCAGGAGGCTGAGGAGGGTTTCTTCACATACGTGTTCCGGCCGTCCCAGCACCTGCGCAGCCGCCGACTGATTTCAGCACAGCTATGGTTCCACACCGGGCTGGACAGGAAGAGCTTGGCACCCTCCAATAGCTCAAGGCCCCTGCTAGACCTGCTGGTGCTGTCATCTGAGGGCCCGGTGGCTGTTCCCATGTCCTTGGGCCAGGCGCCCCCTCGTTGGGCAGTGCTCCGGCTAGCCACTTCTGCTCTCCCGTTGCTGACCCGCCCTATCCTGGTGCTATTACTGCGCTGCCCTCTCTGTTCCTGCTCTGCCCGGCCTGAGACCACACCCTTTATCGTGGCCCACACTCGGGCTGGACCGCCCAGCAGAGGGGAGAGAGCCCGGCGCTCAACTCCTTCGATGCCCTGGCCTTGGTCTCCCACTGCCCTGCGCCTGCCGCAGAGGCCTCCGGAGGAGCCTGCCGCCCATGCCTACTGCCACAGAGCTGCACTGAACATCTCCTTCCGGGAGCTGGGCTGGGACCAGTGGATTGTCCACCCCCGCAGTTTCATCTTCCACTACTGCCACGGTGGCTGTGGGCTGCCCACCACCCCAGACCTGCTCCAGGCAGTCCCTGGGGCGCCCCCTAGCTTGGTCCAGCCCTTTACTCTGGTGCGAGGGGCCCAGCCCTGCTGCGCTGCTCTCCTGGGGACCATGAGGCCCCTACACGTCCGAACCACCTCAGATGGTGGCTACTCTTTCAAGTACCAGACAGTGCCCAATTTTCTCACGCAGCACTGTGCTTGTATCTGAACAGGTCCCGCTCCCTTATGAGTCCTGCCAAGCACCTGGCATCGACAGCTGGGAGGAAAGAAGAGGGCAGGAAATTGGTGCTTCCCATGCCCCCTTCAGCTTCGCTGCCTGAGGGCTCCCCTCCCCATTCCTCTCCTGTTCCGTGGGTAACATGTGACAATAAAGAACATAGTGCATACAACTTGGCATGTGTCCTCAGGCTTCTCTGATATGGTGTTTCAAAAATGTGGGGCCCTGGAAGCTATGGGATTGTGGGATTTTGGGTTACTTGGTTGCACTTGACTTTGGAGATCTGGAGCCCTAGAGCAATAGCTGGCTGTGTGCTTGTTGGGAAGTGGCAGATGTGCCCCTATCTCCTCGGATAGCTACTCTGGAGACAGAATTGGCCTCCTACAAGAAGACCCCAGTGTGTCATTCGAGCTGCCCATCCTGCCACACAAAGGAATTACTGCTTTCAGTGTCCTCATTCAAGGTGGCTATGAGGTCCCCCCCCCCCACCTCCTGCCATCCCCTGCCATTGCAGGTGGACACCTAGCTCAAGGACAGGGCATTTTTAGCCTGGCCAGTGTCTGTGCTGTTTGCAGCCTCACTGAGACAAGTGTTGAGAACTGGTTGCTGCCTGTATCCGGCTCCCTCCAGAGTTTGTGTGAGAATGAAGGGACAGGTGTATGAACTGATAGTGTGAGCAAGAAATCGACCAGGCCAGAGAGGCGCTGCCCTGCTTAACTCAGATCAGCAGAGTACAGATGTAAAATCTGTTTGCTGAGGATCCGGGACTGTTTGCAATCCATTGCTGGCACCTGAAGCAGACTGAGGCCTCACTAAACTGGGGCTCTGGCTCTTGAAATCTTTGGCTCCCTGTGTGTCTTCACACAGCCCCATAACTCAGTACTTAACCTCAGAAAGGCAGAAAGCCGGCTCACTGCCAGGGAAGGGTGTGGCCTTCTGTGAATTCATGCACACACTTAGTGTGCACACTGGGAGTACAGGACATGGGGTCGAGCAGTCTTTTTCTTGTTTCCTTCCTATCCACTGTTCTGTCCCCAGAACTGGGCATCAAGCCGCCTTCTTTGGCCTCTCACTTAGTGTGTCATGTTCCTCTTCCCCGCCATCATATCCTCTGCCTCAGCCCAGGCTCCTTGGCTCTGGGCTGATTAATTCCATCCAGTCTCTCTCTCTCTCCTCATTCTGTGTGTGTGTGTGTGTGTGTGTGTGTGTGCGCGCGCGCAGGGGCAGGGCTGGGATGATCAGTCCATCCCACTGAAACTTGAGAGCACGTTCTGATTGTGTGTATTTGTTTTAGCAGAGTCTCTGACTTGTCAGATGTTCCCTTGTACCAGCCCAGCATGATGGGGGAAGGGTTTGAGGAAAGAATCCAAGTGAGTTACACTCATGCTAACACTTTTGGCCCACCCAGCAATCCCAAAGGAGCTAAGTTTCTTGAAGCACCGGAACCCTCCAGCATGACTATGTGTGCGCTCTCACACCAGCCACAGGCTCTGTTCACAATGAGAACACAAATTACAGTTGAGCAATTTTATTTTGTACCCTGAGATTTTATTTTCTTGGAATTTTACTACTCTGTTAAGTCTGAAAACCCCCAAAGATAAGATTATATGTCCTACTCTGGGAGCCAGGCGCCTAAAGCACTGAATTACACAGTTTTACATCACTACAACGATGAAACAGCTTATGGGGGAAAACGTTAATTTAGCTCACAGTTTTGGAGGTTCAAAGTTGAAAATTGGGCAGGTCCCATTTGGCCTTTTTTGGGATGGCAGGAGCGGGGGTTACCACGGATTGATGATGGCAGGAGCACCTGTGGAAACAAATGTTCATATTGTGAACTCCAGGGGGCTGGGAATTTAATTCAGCAGCATAAAAGTGCCTGCCCGGCAAGCATGAGGTTGTGAGTTCAATCTGTGGAACCCCCAAACACACTGTGAACTACAGCACAGAGAATGTAAGAGGCTGGGGTCCCACAATCCCCTCTGAGGGCACACCCTTATGAGCACTGCCTGCTGTGTTCCACTTCTGAAAGCGCCACAACCCTTCCACATACCACCACCCTGGGGACACGCATTTAGATATAGACTTTTGAGGGACCCGCAACACCCAAGCCATGGCAAGGAGAAGGGTTAAAAGTGAGAAAGGTGATATCCTCAAAGCAAGAGGCAGTTGCTACAAAAGATGAGGTAGGGTAAGTACTGTTGGTTCCTCCTCCAAATCTCTCTCAAATTCAACTCATTTTTTCTACAGGGACCCTATCTTGTAAATGACTGGACAGTTATAGCCTGCTCCTTTGTCCACCCTCCAGCAGGCTGCCACAGGACCCTCCTGAATGGCCAGCTCACTTAGGTGCTTTTAAGCACCCACAGAGTTCAACTCACATGGTGGGGTAAAAATAAACAAATACACAAAAACAAATAAGCAAATCAATAAAACTGAAAAGCCTTTGACAATGGATCCTAAGCCTATCTTTGTAATTTCATCACTGTTCTTTCCTCTCCCCACCCACTATGAGCTGAATGCTAACGTTTCTCTAAAATTCATGTGCTGGAGCTTAATCCCCAATGTGATGTTTAAGAGGTGATTAGGTCAAGAGAGCTCTGCCCTCATGGGAGGGTTTGGGATCCCTAGAGGCAGTCGGAGGAGCAGGTTTACATCCTTCCTTCCTTCCTTCCTTCCTTCCCTCCCACTGTGTGAAGAGGCTGCCACCAGGCACTGTCCATGGAGGAGACAGCAGCCCTCCTCAGAACTACCTGTGGGCTTCCCAGCTTCCAGAACGGTTGATAAATTAATGTTATTGATCTGATTCAGTGCTGGAATAGAATTCAGGACCTTGCACATGCGACGCAAGTGCTGTAAAATTGATCAACACCCTAGCCCAATTTTTATTATGTGTGAATCACTCAGCCTAAGGTAAGGTGATACGATGGTTTACAAACAGAAGAGTTCAGCAAAATATCGCTTAAACTTGTGAGCTCTGTATTGGGTGACAAACACGACTGTGACCATCTTCCCTACACAAACACAAATGTGAATGTCTTCTGCAGAATCATGCATCGATGTAGCACTGTATTTTGTCACAGCAGCAAGAGCAGACTAAGACCATTTAGTTGTACACACCCAACTCTTGGCACAAACTCTGCTCATTCCCAGATATGTCATTTTAGCCTCAAGCTGCCACATGCTCAGGGTGGCTCCTTTCCTCGGGCAAAGTCACCTTCAAATTCTGATGCCCTCTCTTCTGTGACCTTTCCCTTAGCTCCCAGCTGACAAAGTGTTCTGCTTCTTCTTCATTGACTCCTGGGCGCCTTGTTCTTCTGTTTCAATTTTGACAAAAATGGTTACCTATGTTTCATTACATAAGCAACAAATAGATACATCTCTTGGGGGCCTTGAATTGTACAATGAGTCTAGGAGATGTCCTGTCCTTGAGCCAGTTGGAAGAAGGAAACTCCCTACTCTTCGGGTCGCAGCTGGAAGCCCTAGGGCTGATGACTGCTGTGGGACTCACAGAGCAGGATACGACCTGCGGGAGAGATAAGGCTTGGGGGAACCACAGTCCTCCCTTTCCTTTTCCTTGTCCTTCTCCCTAGCCCACCATAGCCGCCATTACCATTCCAGGAAACACCCATTGCCTGTGGTGTTTATTCATTACATCTGAGTCAAGGACAATGGTAAGGATTTCTCTGAGTTCACTGAAGAGAAACATTTGTGCTGGCTTTGTTTGGACAATGGGAGACAGATGTCTTGTGTCTGGGTGAATGATTTGGGGATGACAATGTGCAATGTATGGACCATTGTTGCCCCCTGATTGATGTGCTTTGAAATTTTGAGGGTTTTTTTTTTTCTATTTGAATAAAATGGATTTGAACTGGTAATCCTCCTGCCTCAGCCTCCCGGAGTGCTGGGACTACAGGTGCACACCACCACGCCTGGCTTAATTTTATTATTTATCCATGAATGTTGATACAATAGTAGTGATAGAGTTATTTCCAAAAGATGAAAAATATTAACAAAAGAGGAGAAATATAAAATAAAAAGCGGCCTTTATTCTGAGAACACGGAGAGAGATGACCGGCAACCCCCACCGCTGGCGTCCGGCGATCTCTCCGGCGGACACGCGGCGTGGGGGCCTGTAAATAACCTCGGTTTGGGGTGGAACCTAAGGCGGGCATTAGGGATACACAGGTAGCCCATTGGTCCTAGGTTTGGCGCCATATGTAAATTCCCAGGGGCGGGAAGATGGCATCACAGGTAACTTCCTAGGGGCAGGGCAAGATGGGGCTTCCTGCTTCCGGTTGTGGCTTTCCTGGCTACAGTGTCCTGTCTGGGCCAAAACCTTTCATATCCCGTCTTATGGTTATTATTATGAAAAGGGGCGAAGATTTCTCTCTTTAACTACCTCCTGCTGGCAAAGGGCGCTGTACTGGAGCCTAGGGGAGTCGACGGGATGAAGGTTGATGCCCAGGTAGACGCTGGTGCCAGGTGTTTTGGCCAGGACAACTTCACTGGTGAATGCACGTATGTCAGACTGGAAAAACAAAGAGACAAAATGTTATGAGGAGACATGGCACTGTCATATTTAAGGACCCAGGTGAGGTAGAAGGAAAGGTGCCTTTGATTTAGACATATCATTCTATCAGGACCATGTTGAGGTAGAAGCATTTCCACAGTAAGGCAGAATTCTGAAAATTAAACGTGGGGTTAGGAGGAGTAGAGTTATGAGAGGTGATTACTCCCCCATCTGAAAGCATAAAAGTTAAGACGGTAGGTTGGTGAGGCTTGTCTCTGGTATGCATGATGTTGGAGTCTATAGGCAATACTGCTAAAGAGTCCTGCTGTAAAAATGATCATTAATAGAATGTAAGAAATTAGGAACCAAAGTGGATAACAAAACATGACTTAGCCTTTTAACTGTGGCTGCGAGGCCTTTGTGGATGGAGACGGGTAGGCAACAGAAGATGAGATGACCACTCAGAATGATGAGATTTAGGGCTGGGAGGGCACCTCTTAGCCTGAGTGATGTGAAACCAGGATGGGAGTCCAGCAACTTTGACTTAGGCATGGGTCGCTGTAACCTGGTTGTAGTCCTTGGAATCATTTGCTGTAACAGAACTTTAGCAAGTATGAGAAAGGCTTTTATGTATCCTGAAAAAGTATAAACCAAGTAAG